CCTTTGAAAGGCCCTTGGAAGGGGGTCAGCCCGGATCGACGGCCCGGGTGCCATCCAGGGGACGCCCATCCCCTACGCGTGATCGGGCAGAGTTGGCCCGCTCTGGGCGCCCTCGCTAAAACCGTGCCATCGGATGGGGCCCTGGGCCTGGGGCTCTCCGGAACAGCCTCCCGCCAGGGATCCCTACAGCCCGCGCCCCCCCTTCGTTGGAAAGGTCCTTTGAAAGAGGGCTTTTCCCCAGACCATGGGTGAGGCTGGCTGGTGACTTCCCCTGTTCTGCTGAGTGGTTTTCTCCTCTGAAAACTCTCCTACTGTATAGGTCTCCTGCCGTAGTTACCGCTATAAATCAGTGTTTCTCAACCTTGGTCGCTTGAAGACACGTGGACTTCAACTCCCAGAATTCCCCAGCCAGCCAGCCAGCTGAAACACTGCTGTAAATCATCAGGGGGCAGGCACCCTTACCAAGCGTACAAATCCGTCCATGTCGGCCGCTACATCTCTTTTTAAAGGGGAGCCTTCCAGTTGGCCAAAGGGAAACGAGGAAAGGCAGAAAGGCATCTGGTGGCTGAAGGGCAGTGAATCACCCAGGCAAAGGGGCTTTGCGCAAGTGAGGCTCTCCAGGAAACACCCCCACACTCTTGAACAAGAGCGGCTCCCGTCACAGAGCTGCTCTGAAATGTCAGGATTAACATGAGAATGGCGGTGACTTTTGCATAACTCATCGGTAATGGAAAACTATCCCTGTGTGGTTGCTGGGCTGTTGGGGCGGGGGGGGGCTGCTTCAGGTGCATTTTCCCACACAGGATATGACAGGTTTTGCATTTCAGTGGGTGAAGTTTTCCATGGCAGAGTAATTTCTGCCAACCTCACAGAGGCAGGGAGAACGGTGCTTCTTGTACAGAAACCTCCTCTCCCCTCCCCCAGATGGGAACCAGAAGGCAAACATCACTGCTATCAACTTAAAAACACAAGTTAGCACACCAAAGTGCCAAAGGAAACTAGAAGGTGGCGACTTTCCAAAAGAAAATGTTCTTGGCAGGGTGTTGCCCCAGTGATCCCAAATGCAGCTCAGGACCTTGTCTACCACGCCAGACGACTGCTGGCTCCCCAGCTGAGAGCCAGCTTCCACGGGGCCCGCATATTCTCAGTGAGGATGCCAAAAAAACACTGGCCACGATTCCAAAATTGTGAAGGAATAGGTAAGGAGAGAAGAACGCACAGGAGTCACAGGAGTAAGACGTGGATCACCCTTGGGGGCCACGCGCAGGCTCAATGATGCACTCAGGGACTGACAGTCAGTGGGGTTGTTTCACCTGGCTTGTGGGTAAAATACTCAGCCGGGTGCCTGTAGGAGGTCAACAAAAATCAGGAGGGCAGCCTTCCCCAAGCACTGATCAGCCGGAGAACAGCCCGAGTCGGTTGCCAGATCAAGTAAGGACATAAAGCTAGCTACAAACCCCCCTTCACCCCCACCCCCCCACGAGCTCTGGATATCTGGAGCTGTTACAAAGAAGTTCCTAGATTTCCAGCACACTTTGTAGATAGTATTCAAACCTAGATGGAGGTTATGTCCTTTAAAAGGCAGTCCCTGCCCCCCCTCCCCGAAAAGCTATGGCTTGTCTGGGTGATGCAGGGATTCCTCCCTTAAAAGCAAAGGAAAGACAGCTTTTGCTTCAGAATGTCCGCTTTTCAATGTAATCCTTCCATCAATTCATGCATTTAATTGATGGCCTTCTCTAAAAAGGGGATCAGGGCAAGAATCATCACAGCGAACAATTGCTTTGCTCGGTTTCTTTTTTCTTGGCCAGGCCCAGAGCGAACGCTCATCCTCTCAGACCCGCTTCTGTCCCTCCTGCCAGGCACATGCATCTTCCGAAATACCAACCCCCCACCCCCCCCGCCCACCTCCTGGAATCCCCT